GAATAATAAACACAAGGAAAAATTTTTCGAGTGTGGAAATCTTCTTCACCCTTTCGAAGAGAGAGATGAACGGTAGAAGGCGGAAGAATTATCTCGCCCGTATATATAGGGGACGACGAACGTTCGAAGCGCAATTTATATTTTAATCGATCTGTAGAGAAGCTTTTATCTGTCCAACGCCAGACGAGAATATATTTCCACCATACCACCGCATCTGGCGCATCTCTGGCGAAGAAAAGAGGGGAGGTGGGAGAGAAAGGAGGAAAGAACAAAACCCGATCCGACTCGTACGTTGATGAAACGTGGTGGCCCACGGAGAAAACACACTCAGTGAACCGGGTTAACCATTCCATATCGGTTTAAATATGGCGAGTGGTCGAGCGTAAAATACACGGGGGTTGCAAGGGACGTTCATCAATGTCTATGACTTGCCTGCGATTGACTGGGCAAATCGTGCGAGGATGTTCAACGATAATAATCGTTCGAACGATTGTGTTGCACAGTTTGCATACGGAACACTGATCAATTTCGACAGCCTTTCTTCGCCTCGTCGGAGTAATTATGCGCAGGAAACCGGATGCGATTCAGGGGGGGAAGAGGGTGAATTAGTGGATTAATTAATCTACTCACAAACGAATCGATTTTATTTTATGTTCGTGAAAAATTTGCACGCAGAATTTATACACATTTATACACATTTGTGTACACGTGTCTTTGTCTCGATTCGATTGCAATTTGACAAAAATTTAAAAATTGTAGTGAAAGACGTAGTATTGAAATATCTCTGATAAATTTATTGGAGTTAGCTCGATGAAAAGAGTAAAGAATATTTGAAATTTGAAGAAAGTCTGAATTTTTTGATTCCGAATTTTGAGAGTCAAAGTATTTAAGAGTTAAAAAAATAGTGGAAAGAACGGAAATCGTTAAGAAGATTCCATTACAGAAAACCTTAGTCGATACATAGCTTCTATTCCAGTATTAATTCAAATTTAGATCTTCCAAGACAGTTTTGAAAGCAAAGTTAATTATATCACCATTCAATTCGACGTTCATGTAACCGATCCTATATCACAATCGAGGCTCCCACATATAGACCTGCCACCAAAATACGATATCCTCGTTAATTTAAGCGGATAACAATCCAACGTGTATATACATATATATATATATCCAGTTTAATAGCAACATTTCTTCCTCTTTTCGAGGCATCCATAACTCGAATTTACTTTATTCAACCCCTTGGGATTGCGTAACACCTCTTGGAAGGTGGCTAATAAGCAAGGTAGCTCCGTTTGTACGCGGTTTGCATTTAATACTTCCTCCATCCCCCCGTCGACCCACCACTACCGCCATCATCCCCTCGACACGATTTTCATCGAGCGACAGACGTTCACGTGTCCCGCCACGTGAGTCGGACACGTGGAAGGTGGTATACCCGATATCGAACCATCCTCGAGATATTTCTGTGTAAGCAGAACGAGTTTCCACGCAATGTTACATACTCCGTCTTTTCACGGTTTTTTTTTTTTCTTTTTTTTCTTTTTTTATTAATTCGAAATGGAAATATTCGTATTCTCCTCTTTCAACTTTTTAGCTTCGTTTATATTTTATTTCTCGTTTTTTCGAGGAGCAATCTTTATAAAGGGTTGTACGATAGAATGGAATATATTCTATAGGGGTGGTTTAAATTGTAATTAATTGTTGGAGAATTATTTGTGCAAAAACAAATAAGATGTGATGATGTATAAGATAAAATATATTCTCTTTTTCAACTCTTTTATATTTTATTTATACGATAGAATGGAATACATTCTATAGGGGTGGTTTAAATTAATTATTGGAGAATTATTTGTGCAAAAACGAAGATGTGATAAGATAAAACTATAGTTTATCTTCCTCAAATTTATCAAAATAGAATAGAGTTTTCTCATTCTCGGATATCTAATTTTCGATTATTCGAAATTGTCGATTGACAATTTTTCTTTCATTATAGAAAAGGAAAATTGAAAAGTCAAAAATGAAAACTAAAGAAGCATAGAATTCTCTCTGTATATTATATGTATTATCCAATAGAAAGAGGCAAGAATCAAAGAACAGGTTAAAAGTTTCACCTGACTCCCGGTTGCCTCGTAATTTTCTCATTTTTCTGAATCTACGTAGAAAGAATCGTTGTGCCGGACGTGGCTGCGAACGAAGGTCGGTCTCCGGACGTGACATCACTGGCAATCAGTTTTTCAGACACGTGAGAAAACAATTGTTCCTTACAATGCCGTAATAAAATGGTACACTACCGAGATCAATTTAATTGAGCTTCTTCGTGCGTGCCAGTCTCGTGATTACTGTGATACCGCGCACAGGTTTTGAGTAAAAAAAAAAAAAAAAAGGAAAGA